TCACTGAGTCAGACACGCCCATAAGGGGGAGTGCCTCTGTATCAGACACACCCACAATGGGAGTGTCACTGATTCGGACACGCCCATAGGGGGAGTGCTTCTGTATCTCACACACCCACAATGGGAGTGTCACTGATTCAGACACGCCCATAGGGGGGAGTGCTTCTGTATCTGACACACCTACAATGGGAGTGTCGCTGATACAGACACACCCATAAGGGGAGTGCATCTGTATGACACAGGCCACTATAGTGGGGTGTCACTATATTTGGCACTCCCACAATGGGATGAAGTCCGTATCAGATATGCCTACAATGAGCGTTTTACCTCATCTTACAAGTCCAGTTGGTTATATTTCAGAGCGACCACATCTGCGTACAGTTTTGACTTACTTAGGTTTCATACGGAATAGAAAATCTCTGTCAGCTTTTTAAGAGCTGTAAGTAAATGTGAAGTAGATATAAACAGAAAAATAGATGGATAAACATGGATGTAAATAGAAAAACACGGAGGTGTTTTTAAACCCAAGGCCTGAGCACAGAAGAAAGCAAACAGACGTTCATGTTTTTCGTGTCAGAAGTGCAGGGCAGCGTGAAAACAATGTCCGTCGTGCGAGGAGTGAGGTGAGGAGTCATTGATTAGAGTGGAGAAGAAGTGCCAAGGAGCAGAGGGCAGCATCAGACGTGTGCGATCATGACAAAGCGAGAGAGCGCAGGTGTTGTCTAAACACATGAGTCTAGAGGCTCTCCAGGCTTCTTACCCGGGTTGGGGGGGGATTTAATCACTGCCCTCTGCACTGGCTCACTTTGAGCTCTCAAGGTGATGGCAAAACCATGTGCCTCCTAACAAGCGAGACAGCTGTCGTGCCCCCGTTTCCTGTCGGTCGATCACCGCAGGTCTGCCAAGTGCTGTTTCAGTGGAGTCAGCAAGTGTACTGGATACTGTCTTGCGCTAATAGAAATCCATTCAGGAATGCGACAGCTGGAGTCTGGACATCGATCGGTGCTCAATCTTGTGCGGGCGCTGTCGGATGGGAAGCTTGAAATCTATCGGGCGGCTCTAACGAGTGTGAGTTTGCTGGGAATGTGTACAGAGGGCTCACTGTTTGTTGGCGTGAGGGGCTGAGCTGACTGACAATTTAGAATTCCAGA